GATGGGAATCGAACCCGCAATTCTGCAATCTCTCGCTATCTTGGCGAGCGTCATACCTGTTAGACCACTGAAGCCCGTACGATATCGTTACGGATCTAAGATCCCCAGTCTCTTTGTCTTCATACAACTTCATTTTGATATATAGTCGACTAAATATGAACGTTAATGCAAAGTATACGATAAATTATGACGTATTGTTTATTGTTGTTTGTTGTGTTCTATTTATAGATGTTAATGAGACAACAGGACCAGGCGTTAGCCCAAACGTTACTGAGCCTCCGTGCAGAGATTAACGACCTACGCCTCCAAATCAGCTGCGATGAACACAAAGAGATCATTGAAGACGTACGATTTTCTGTTGTTGATGAAGATGAGAATGCAGGGGACTACAATGATTTAGCAATGCTAGATAGACCACCAACCTTCTGTGAGATGGACCACGAACGACCGCTTAAAACTTTGGGAGTGACCCGAATGAATTTACGGGCAAGGAGATTTTCTCTTATGTGATATAGCTTTAATACATAGGCAATAAATAGCTTTGTAGGCCTACTGCTTTTTTATGACAAAAATTGAAGATAGAATAACTGGAATCGTGTCGCCCGTTGACTATGATTGTCTTGAGAACTTTTTTGTTGATACACAGACTTTCGTGCTTCAGGTGAAATGAATTTGGAAGATTGTTTTTTGAGACGTGCCACTGTCACTCATTCAGATTGGATATAAAACGGCTTAAAAAATGTATAAAACGTTGAGACTTTTTGAGTGAAAATCAGCATGAGTATCGTAATATACTGGAAGTTGATATTCATTCTATTCCACTGTGTATATGAGACGTGTATTAGCAGTCACTCACAGATCGGTTATAAAAACGGCATAAAAAAAATCTATAAAACGTTGAGACTTTTGAGTGAAAAGCAGCATGAGTATCGTAATATATTGGAAATTGAAATTCATTCGATTCCACTGTGTACCGTATATAGGAAGACCATGTGACACTTGTTGTATAAATTATGTACATTCGGTCATCTGTGTGCTGCCGTCGTTCCCTTGTGAACGAATGATTAATCAGCCTCAACAAAATATTGTAAAATACGTTTGTACAACCCGATTTCTAAGTATCCAGGTCTACGCATGGTTTGGGCATAGTCTGCGCACGGTTTGCGCAGGCATGTTGTTAAACGGTTGTTTCAAATAGGACTATAGAATAAGACCACTACGGTATGATACGACGACTGTACTAGCAAAACATTATGTACGGTACATTATCTTTATTGGTCTAATAATTATTTCTTTCTAGAGAAAAGGGACAAATTAAATCTAAAGTTCCTTTTGCAAAACACTGGTTAATTGCCTCAGCTATTTAATAAAGTACTAAAATAAAAATACATAAAATACCAATGCTCCGTGAAGATGAGTCCATATTTATCGATGATAATGTTTGCTGTGGACGTGATGTTTGATGCGATGTGCATTTTGCATTATTGTGTGTCTATCTAGTCATACAGCATTGGTGAAAAACAAGACAAATGGAAAAAATAAGTAGGCTTAATTAAAAAAAATAAACAAGCAAGGTAAACTATATCGATTTTTTTCCATAGTGCATGAGCATAGCTTAGCAACTTCGATTTAGTTAAACCATGGATGAAAGTTAAACGAATACTCCTTATTATCTCGACAAGAACAATTAGCCTGATGTGGTTCTCCGTGACATAAATTAAAGGCATCAACTAGTGGGTCGATTATATTTACAGACCGGCTTCACGTTGGTAGTAGAGCTGGGCAGTAGTACTATAATTTGCTAAATAGTTTAATACGAGGTAGGCATGGGTACTACGGGAGAATTGTTATAAGACAGAATTTAAGATTTTTATGCTAAAGAGTATTGATTTAGATAGACATCAACTCTATATTTATAACTTATGAATTCCATTGATTGTATTTATAATAAATAATTTAATAAAAAAACTTTCAGAAGGTGTTTTGTGTTATCTCTTTTTGCTATCTACTGGTAAGTCATTAAACCGAGAGTTAGCTACATTGCATACAGTACCATTATAT